CAAGAAACACATCCCCAATTCATCCACTCGTATGTGAAAACCATGAAACAGACCTACTCTAGCAGGTCTGACCTTAAAGATGAGCCCCTGATAGCTTTGATGTTTTGTGGTCTACAGACAGGAGTAGCTTTATTCATAAAGGAGTAGTAAAGAAGGCAGGTAATGCTATAGTTAACCAAGAAGAAGTTATTAAGGCCAAAGCTTTACCGCCCCAGACTTCTGCTCAAAAAGTGGAATTAATTGCTCTAATAAGGACCCTCCAACTGGGAAAAGAGTCAATATTATTTACTCACTCTAAATATGGGTTCCTGATGCTCCATGCTCATGCTGCCTTGTAGAAAGAAAGAGGACTACTAACATCTAAGGGGTTCCCCATGAAACATCACAGAGCTCTTAGAACTTTTAGATACTGTCCAGCTCCCAAAAGAAATAGCAGCTATTCATTGCAGGGGACACAAAAAGGGAGACATGTCTATTATTAGAGGAAATGCTCTGGCAGACAGAGCAGGCAAGGCCACTGCTACAAGAAGATCAGTGCCACTGGCCACTGCACTAATGCCTATACTCCACCCATGTCAGCAGAATCATACTATGCACCTGAGGAAATGAAACGAACAGAAAGAAAGGCTTACAAAAAGAGTCCCTCATGGTAGTTGCTAGAAAGCAGTAAACTTTCTCCCCAAGGCTGAGCAATGGAAAATAATTAAGCATTTCCCTAACTCCTCACATTTGGGATGGAATTCTCTCTTCAAATCGGTTTCCCAAATATTCTTGGAGAAGGGACTATTCCAGACTGAAAAAGGGGTCACCAGGACCTGTGAACTCTGTGCCCATAATAACCCAGGAAGCCACCTACTCAAACCTTTATAACATCAAGGAACCCTGGGGAAGACTGGCAAATAGACTTCACTCAGACTGCCTTACAGAGTACTACAATATTCGCTAGTACTTACAGCCATTTTCACCAGGTGGATAAAACTTTTCCCGCAAGGACAGAAAAAGTATTGGAAGGGTCCAAATTCTTACTTAAAGAATTTCATCCCAAGGTTTGAATTACCAAAAAGCTTGCAAAGTGCTAATGGACCCTCCTTCATAGGTAAGGTGACCCCGCAGGTTTCCTCCATCTTGGGCATTGGGCATTACCTGTCGTCGTCGTTCCTCCTGGAGGTTTCAATCCTCTGGTAAGGTAGAAAGAGCCAACCATGCTTTTAAAAGGACATTAGCAAAACTCTGTTGGGACACCTGGGAGGCCTGAGTTTTTCTCCAATCCATAGCCCTCTTGTGCATAAGGAGGGCTCCAAGAGGAACCCTAAAACTTAGTCCATTTGAAATAACCTATGGAAGGCCCTTTCTAACTTCAGATTTCCTGTTTGATGAGGAGACACCTAGAACGCTCATTCATATGATCAACTTAGGTCAGTTTCGAAAGGCCTTTCAAGAATATGGAAATAAAGCATTTCCCTTTCCCACAAAGGAAAAGAATAAGTCCCCTCTTGAATCCGGGACTTAGTCTTACTGAAAACCTGGAAAGAAGGGAGGCTTCCCCAAGGATCTATTACGACCAAAATAAAAAGCCCCTATCAGGTGTTGTTAAATACCCCCGTGCTGCTGTGAAACTTCAGGGAGTCACTAGTTGGGTACACCTGTGTAGGATTAAACGTATTTTCTCATGAGTCCCTGCAGGTGTGAGAGAAGAACACCACCTACACTTGTGAACCCCGAGAAGATTTAAAGCTGTTGTTTCACAATCACACAGATAAGTAGCATGACAAGGAAAAGTATGTGCAGTAATAAACCACACCTGTTGTTCTTATGGTAACAATTCAGAGTTAGTTGAACTGCAAGCTCAAGGCCTTCCACCCTCCTGCAACTCTTTAAAATTAAGGAAGAGTGCATAATCTCTGAGGGGAAAATGAGGTCGATCAGCAGGGCTTGTGTTCCAAGCACCAGTCACAACCCCAGCCATGACGCACAGCTGGTCAAAGCCCCAATTTTGGGGTTTGCCTGCATCAGAATGGTTAAATCAAGCGAATTAACATATGCATTACCTCACATAGTTATCCTTTTTGTGGTGAAAACACTTAAAATCTACCCTCTTAGCATTTTTAAGAATACAGGATATCGTTATCTACTATAGTCACCATGCTGTACAATAGATGTCTTGAACTTATTCCTCCCATCTAACTGAAATTTTGTGTCCTTTGACCTACACCATGAAGGCAGCGATTTGTGACCTTAAGTTATTTCTGTGCTTACCTGTTTAAGCCTCAAAGCACGGAATTTACCTCTGTCTAAACTATTTCATTATTTGAACATAATTGTGACCCTACTCACAGTAAACTGTCAGTACCAACAAAACAATGATATTGTATTTATAATTATGATGGCTATTTTTAATTTACTTGAGTGTTTATTATGTGCAAAGTACTTTATATTCTTTCTGTTATTTGTTAATAATTCTCACTGCCGCTCAATGAACATGATAACCTTGATATTCCCATTTCATAAATTAAGAAACCAAGAGACAGAAAGGTTATAGTGTTCAAGGTTAAGTAGCTAAAATTTGGGTTAGAGAGAATTCTGGTCTAAGCCTGTCCAACCCAAACCCCTCATGCTTTGCCAAATTCTATTCTGCTTCCACTTAATATAAACAAACAAGTTAGTTGTCTTAAATGTCTTATATTTACATTGAAATTGTCTTCTTGAAACTCTTTGGCCTTCTTTTTTTTAATAAATGTTATTGCATATATCACTTTTTGAACTAATTTGCAGGTGAACTAGTTTTCAAAGACAGATCAGGCTGAAAATGTTGTGTCTGCAAAGAACCAGCTAGTGACTTGTCAGTAATTCATACCTCCAAAATGTTTTGATTCACACATATCAGGGAACTTCTTTGAAATTAACTCTCTTTTTCTCCACCTGCACCACTTTGTACGTGAAGGAACAGCCCATGACTTATACAGTGCTACTTTCTCTGATAAATCACAAAGAAAAAAGTAGCAAATGTTTTTATGACTATGCATTCATTTTGATTTGTTCATTCAAACAAATTCCACTTGAGGAGAGGGGTTAAGAGAAGTGAAAAAAAATGATTTTTTAAAGTTGCTTGCCAGTGGCCACGTAACAATCAGCTGCAAATAAAAATCTCAACCGTCTTCTCTTTTTACTTAACAGTATTTTTCACACTACTTAATTCAGAGGATTACATTATTTCTAACCTTTATTCTTCTGTTACCCTTTTCTCAGAGCAAGGAAGGAAACTTATTTATCAGGCTCCTATCACCTGCCCAACACTCATCTTCATACACACTTTCTCTTACAGGGCATGACCTAAGGAATAAATGTCCATTTATAGTTGAGGAAATGAAGCATCAGATAAGTTTATTTGCCTATGATGACTTGTAAGCTGAACAAATAAATAATTTAACCCTAGAGTGTAGTTTCCACCTTTTAGGTTGGCAGAGGCTTAACCAAGAGTGTAGATTAAGTTGAAGTTATGACAAAACAGCAATAATTGAGAAGTGAAGAGGTCTTGGAGGTAATGTGATGGGAGGGGGTCGTGGGGATCAGTGAAAAGACTGGCCTTGAATAGGAAGATAAGTGAGAATAATTGTCGGTGTAAGTAAAGGCACAGGGAATTCATGGGATCAGGAGAGGGGCACCAGCACAATATCTTTATTTGACTTCATCTAAAGAAAAATCTAAATTGTCTGATGTTTAGGTTTAAAAAACACATAAAAATACAAAGGAGAGAAAAAAACAAGTGCCATTTTCTTATAATCAATAAGCTACTATTTTAAAGTCTAACATATCTGTTTTATGGGGTTTCTTTCCATTTTTAATTACACAAAGTCAGGTGCTGATAGCTTGTGCTTGTTAAATTAAGATATAAAAAGTAGAAGTAAAAGGCTCCTCTGCTCTTCTACTTCTGAGGACAAAAAAAATACTATTCTCTGCCTTCACACACACAAATACGTACTAACACTCGCACACACAGAGAAAATATTATTGACGTTTAGTGGTTTATTTTCTATCAATGTTATCATACTAGATGCATCATTTTCAACTTTGCACTCAACATTGTTTTTCAGATTGATCTGTATTAACAAATAAAAATACAATTCATTTCTTGTAACTGCTGTACAGTAATCCACCATACGCCATGGTTGCCAACGCAATCCCCTGGTTGATTACTTCTATGTTTTATTACAAACAATTCTGTGGTGAAAATCCTTGTACATGTTTCCATGTAATGAAATTCTTAGGTATTAAGAATATCTAAATTAGTTGTTCTCTAAATAGATAACTGTGAGTGAACCAAATGGTTAGTACTTACTTTAACAAACACCACCAAAGAGCTGTCCATGCTGACTGTGCCACCAGCAGTGTACGACAGAGCCGCACTTCCATCTCTGGCACACTTGATATTGTCAAGTGCTTTAGTCTTTGCCAATATGTGAAATATGTGAAAATGGATTCTTATTTACTAATTGCATTTCCTGATGGCCACCAAGTATTTAATGTTTGTATAAACAGTAATTTTTTTTTACACATTTTACCTATTTATATTGATTGTTTAGTTTTCTTCTTATACTGTAGCAGTGTTTTTATATTCTGATTTTTGGCTATTACACATGTTGCCATACTTCTCCAGTGTCTGGTTTCTGCTCTTTTATGGTGTTTCTTATCATTCAAAGCATTTATTTATTACACTGCACATTTATTGATCGATTTTCTCTCTCATTTCAGAAAGCTTTCTCTGGCCTAGATCATAAATATATGCTCAAACAATATCTTCTATTAATTTTTAAAAAGAAATGTTTGAGTTTAGGATTTTTTTCATCTGAAATTTATTTTCATAGTCATGTAAAGTAGGAACTAATTTTATGTTAAAATCTTCAAGTGGCTTCACATTTTCTTACAGGATTGAGGCCAAATACACTGTGTCCTGAAAGCACATACTGATTCTGTGACTGTAAATTTCCCTTTTCATTACTCACATTTTTAGTTGATTCATCCGACTCTTTTTACTCATACTTCAACATTCAGTGAAATATAGCCTCTTGCATGTAATACTCCTTGATCCACTCAGTGTTGAAAACCCTTCATTCCTCTCCCGACTGTACCTGGCTCATACACTACTGTTGCATTGTAACAGTAGTTACAATGCGTTGTGAAGTCATCACATTGTGAAGTCATCCATTTACATGCCAAGATTCTACTCTTGATTCTGAATATCCCTTAAATGATGACCACCCTACTGTGTCTTCTCATGCCTCTAACTTATGAATGAGCTTATTCCTCTAGAACGGGAATGTTCTTTTCTACTTTTGTTCCTAACTCTGACTCGACTCTACTCGACTCTCCTAGGTTTGTTATTTTCCGCCTAAAGATGCAGTCTTAGATGTGTAAAAATATTTGGCTGAAAGAGTATTTGCTGCAGTACTCTTTATAATAGCCAAAACTAGAACCAATCTAAATTCATTCATAGGGGTTCAGTTAAATACATTTAGTAAGGTTATATAATAAATACTAAACAGTCATCCATACTGAGTCACAGAAAAAATTTACATTATGCAGATATATATCAGGCATATATTGAAATATGAAAATCAGATTAAACAAATCAGTATGGAAATAAAATATTATCCCATATATTACATATCACATATATTTATGTCACATACCTATCATATGATATAGTGTATATAAAGAGAGGGAGGGGGAAATAGAGAAGAAAAGGGAGGAGGAGGAGAAAGAAGGGGAGGAAAAGAGAAGAAAAGGTGATGAGGACTAGAAGAATATCTACCGAAATGCTGATAGTGATTATCTCTAGGTAATGGGCTAAAAAGTCGATTTCTACAAGTGTGTTGGAAGATGTATGTTGACCATCTTTATTTTCCTATTTTCTAAATTTGCTAAAACAAATATGGATTATGAAGGAAAGACATTTTACATGGTCTCTAAAATGAAGATACAACTATCTTGGTAAACAAGATTAGTAATAATTTTTAATTACTAGAAAACTACTCAGAATATTTACCCATGTGTTTAATCTAGCAAGTTGAAACTTTTCAAAAGTAAGCAATATTTATAAGTTAACGGGGATGTCGTTCATCATAATTTGGACAATAAAAATAGGGGTGCACTAGTATTAGTCTTTTTGCTATTTGATATTTTAACTGTACCGAAAATCAGGGTACTTTAAATTATAACTAAAATAAGTGTGCTTTTCTAAAAAGTCATTTGAGATAAAATAGTAGCAAGCTGGCCAAAAGACAGGCTGTTTTTTAACGATCCTCATGGTGATTTCATATTTCTTAGTTAATTAAATAATACCTTTATCATATAACAGCAGAAATGAATGGGTGCAGAATTCAAAGTCTCAATGATAGCTAACTATTATTAATTAGCTTCCCTAAATGTGACAAAGTGAAAGAAGGCAATATTTCTTTTGCCAAAAATTGTGCAATTATCATTTTTTATTAGACACAGAGTTATGGGGATGAAACAAGAAATATTTCCTGATAATCTCCCAAATGTTGTGGAAACTAATTTCTTGGAGATGAATTTTGTGCTTTTTGTGACTTTTTTCACTTTTAGTTTAGATTCAGGGGACATGTGCAGGTTTGTTAAATAGGTATTGTGGGGGTTTGGTGTACAGATTATTTCATCACCCAGGTAATAAGCCTGGCATAGTACCCAATAGGTGGCTTTTCAATCCTCACCATCCTTCCGCCCTCTACCCTCTAGTAGTTCTTGGTGTCTGTTGTTCTCTCCTTTGTGGCCCTGTGTATTCAGTGTTTAGCTCCCATTTATAAGTGAGAAAGTGTGGTTTTGGTTTTCTGTTCCTGCGCTAGTTCACTTAGGATGATGGCGTCTCGCAGATTAATTTTGAATATTTCTTCCTATAACAGAGAAATTTCTTTTCATATGAATTTCTAGGTTGTTTTTTCTTAGTGCAAAAGGTAAATATGTTGTAACATGAGGAATTACAGACCATTTGTCCAACAGAGGGTAAGTTTAATATAAATTATGGAAGCCTACAATCTTAAAAGGTGAAGCTTTGGAAGGGATATGGTGGAGTTTGTAAAACCAGGGAAAAGATGGAATGAAAGTGGACCTACATTTTAGATTCCAGAATTTGAAATGAGAAGGCTTAGGTAAAATAAAAAGAAATGCCATGTTGTATTACTCAACAACAACAAAAATTACTCTAAAGGCAGCATGTATTTCAAGCCTAAAAGAGATAGAAAAACAAAAGAAAGCAATTTCTTTATAGAAGGTTAGGAAAGGGTTGAGGTAGACATGGTAATTTCAAATAAGCATGTTAGGAGTTCACCACGTGCCAGAAACTGCATTAAGAACTTTAGAGAGATTATCTAATCTAATTGTCACAATAACACTTTGAGACGTGTATTATCATTACCTTTTATTTCCCCAGCTTTATTGAGGTATATAAGTGATGCCTTGAAAAAGAAAGAAATTCTGTCATTTGCGGCGAGGTATATGGACCTGGAAGACATTATGCTAAGTGAAATAAGTGAGACACAGATAGACAAATACTGCATGACCTCACTTATACGTGGAATCTAAAATATCTTTACTTTTATTTTAAACACAGGCATCAGAGGTTTCTAGAAATCTCATCACTTTACTCAAGGTCATACCACTAGCAAGCATAGAAAATAAGATTCAATACTATGCAGCCATAAAAAGGAACGAGATCATGTCCTTTGCAGGAATGTGGATGGAGCTGGAAGCCATTATCCTCAGCAAACTAACTCAGGAACAGAAAACCAAACACCGCATGTTCTCACGTATAAGTGGGAACTGAACAATGAGAACATGTGGACACAGGGAGGGGAACAACACTCACTGGGGCCTGTCAGGGGAGGGTGGGGAGGGAGAGCATTAAAGAAAAGAGCTAATGCATACTGGGCTTAATACCTAGGTGATGGGTTGGTAGGTACAGCAAACCACCATGGCACACGTTTACCTATGTAACAAACTTGCACATCCTGCACATGTACCCTGGAACTTTTTAAAAATTAACGAAAGAAAATAAGATTCAAACTCAGATTGCTCTGTCTCCAGAGCCAAACTCCTAACCTCTCTGCTATAGTGTATCAGCGATATTGCTGATGTCACGCAGAGTGACAAAAAGAAATAGAAGCCAGGCCTGGATACACTGCTATATATGGCTAAGTGTTAAGTAACATTTTGCCTCATGCTTCTACAACTCAATTAATTATCACACAGACTCAAATGATGTCAACATGGATTGCTACTTAAACATCTGGATGATGGATCAAAAATAACTCATTTTAAACTTCGGTTTAGGCATTTCAAAACTAGATAATCTTGATTAATTGACTAACCACATCAGTGAACAGAGTTTCCTCATTTCTAAAATAGGAATAATAATCATTCATACCATGTATATTTCATAGAGTAGTTTTATAATCAAATTATGCAATTCAAGTGAAAATACTAAATAAATAATAAAAGTCAATGAAGGCTGGGTGTGGTGGCTCATGCCTGTAATCCCAGCACTTTGGAAGGCCGACGTGGGCAGATCACTTGAGGCCAGGAGTTCAAGACCAGCCTGGCCAACACGGAAAAACTCCATCTCTACTAAAAATACAAAAATGAGCTGGACATGGTGACGGGCGCCTGTAATCTCAGCTACACAGGAGGCTGCAGCACAAGAATCACTTGAACCCAGGAGGTGGAGGTTGCAGTGAGCTGAGATCGTGCCACTGCACTCCAGCCTGCGTGATTTTTTTTTTGAGACTCCGTACCAAAAAAAAAAAGTCAGTGAAGATGAACTAATGCTTAACATGGAATACAATTATACATGATAGAAAAAAGTAAGGCTTGGTTTGTTTCACTTACAAAAATAAAGTTATTTTTATTTCCTGCTTTACCACTCATTATTCACCTGTAGTTTCTTACCATGTAAAGAGCTTTCTCATGGCATTTTTTACCTCTTCATTTCTCAGGGTATAGATGAGTGGATTCAACATAGGTGTCAGAATACCGTAAAATAATGCCATGCTTTTGTCTATAGATAAAGTAGAAAATAGATGCATATAAGTAAATATACAAGGTACAAAGAACAAGGCAACAACAGTGAAGTGGGTACCATCAAGATTGGCAAAAATGTTACGAAGTTTTGGCTGTGCCATGTGTTGAACAAGAATGTACCTCATCAGAATCTCCTATACATTGCTGTAGGGAGTGAATATTGGTACAACTGCTTTCAAAAGCAATTTGGCATATTTTTGGAAAAGTCAAACATTTGCATACCTTTCAACATAGCAATTCAGTCCCTGGGTATATGCCCCAGGCAAACTTTTCCACACAGACAAGAATGCTCATAACAGCCCTCATACAGCTGAATATGGAAACAGCCAAGGTATATTTAAAAAAGAGTAGTAAAATAATTATGGCATATTCACCCAATGAAATCTTGTGCAATAGTAAAAATGATGAAATACAATACATGCAACAACAAGGATGAAATATTATGTTTTTGAAATATTTTTGAAATATTATGTTAAGTAAAGATAGCAAATCAGAAGACTACAAATGTATAACACCATTTTATAAAATTAGAAATAAGAAAAATTAAGCAATATATGGGTTAGGTATATATACACATATGTTAAAGCTATTTTCATAAAGTAAGGAAGTCGTAAACCAAACGAGAATATTGGTTAAGGCAAAGAAATAAAATAGAGAAGACACATATGACACAAGTTATTAGGAATGTTCTTAAATTGATAAGTTCATAGATGATCATTAATTATGAATAATTATGTTTTATAACATATTAATATATAATTTTATTATTTATTACATATTACATATATTAAATAATACACATATTATTTGTGTCAAATATTTTTAACTAATAATATTTTAAAATCTTTTATGAAAGAAATCAGCCATGGGGTACCCTCTCACCTCTAGCCTACCTTCCTTTTCTGCCTTCACTGTGGACACTTTCACCTTCCAAGGAGGAGGAGTTCAGAGTCCCTTCCCCAATACCATACCTACCACCACATCCTTTCTCTGCTCTCTCTCCAACCACAGCAGAATAAGTAAAATTTATAATAACAATTACATCTTGTTTGTGTTTAT